CCCAAGCTTTCATCTGGGAGTATGTGCACGAGAGACATGCTGCTATATGCGGGCTGACAGTTGCCCAGGACATCCGATTAGGGAACCACATCAGTCACGGACCATCCACATGAAGTGGCACCACTGCCCATTTGGTGGGTACAATAGTGTCACTTACTTTCCCAGGCCACAAAGAACGCCTTTTAAAGTAAATGTTTCAAGTACAGTGGCAAAAGATTAAATCCAGTTGTCTCAAAAATAACACACTTTTATTTTCAGGCAATTGCTTGATAAAGTGGTACTTTTGTTTGGCAGTGGGATCTTTGCACCAAGCCAATCCTGATTTTTAACAGAAAAAAACAAACAGCACTTTTGTAGGCATTGCAAAGAAATGTTTTTGAAGAATTTAAAAGTTGTGTCTTCTAAGTTGTTGGCTGCAAATTTGTCTAACAACTGATCCATTGAAAGTAGTTTTAAGGGAAAAAATTCTCACATCCTCCCAGAACTCTCTACTGTATTATTATGTTCTTTTCTCTTATATCCTGAGATTTGTGGTGTTTTACGATCTGGTGTCTGGGTCAGTAGCACTAGTTTAAAGTCTAAGGAAAACAAAATTGCAAAGTTTTAACTCCTGTCAATTAATGGGAAGGGGAAGACAGTAAGGGGCGGGTGCATGAAGCAGGAAGGGGCTTCTCCTTGTCTGCCAGGGGCCTCAGTACTCTAGGGATTGTTCTTGGGAAGTCCCTGAATTGTTCATCCAGCTGAGAAGAGATAAACTCCTTAATGGGCAGTTCTTAGAAGAGCATTGCATTGTTTGCTAGCTAAACTCCTGTAGCTGGAAGTTTAGGAGTAACATGTCGGTGGAGAGTGGAAGATGACTATTTTGAGAAAACAAGAGTTGTATCACCCCAATCCTCCCAAGTGGGCCAGCACACACTCACGCATACTCACACTCACACTAGTTCTGGGATAAATGATTGCTGACCTCTGCTCTTTGGATATTCTAATCTTTCTTTCAATTATATTAAGTAACTAGAGGCCCGGTGCACAAAAATTTGTGCACTCGGGGGGAGCGGGGGGGTCCCTCAGCCCGGCCTGTGCCCTCTCACAGTCTGGGACCCCTCGGGAGATAACGACCTGCTGGCTTAGGCCTGCTCCTTGGTGGCAGAGGGCAGGCCCAATCCCTAGGTGCAGCCCCGGTCAGGCTCAGAGCAGGGCTGCTCTGGAGGTTGCGATGCCAACTTCAGTCACACTCAGGGTAGGGCTGATTGGGGGGTTGGGGCACTGCCCCCGTCACACTCAAGGCAGGGTCGATGGGCAGGTTGCGGCGCCACCCCCTGTCACGCACAGAGCAGGGTCGATCAGGGGGTTGGGGAGCTCCCGCCTGTCATGCATAGAGCAGGGTCGATCAGGGGGTTGGGGAGCTCCCCGCTGTCACTCACAGAGTAGGGCCGATAGGGGAGTTGGGGCACCGCCCCCTGTCACACACAGAGCAGGGCGGATCAGGGAGTTTGGGCACCGCCACTCTCACACTCAGGGCAGGGCCGATGGGGAGGTTATGGCTCTACCCCGTCACACACACAGCAGGGCCCGTGGGGGTAGGGGGTTGGGGCACCGCAGCCTGTCACACACAGAGCCGCAGGGCAATCAGGGGGTTGGGGAGCTCCCCCCTATCAGGCACAGAGCATGGCTGATCAGGGGGTTGGGGCGCCTTCCCCTGTCACGAACAGAGCAAGGCCGATAGGGAGGTGTGGCCCTGCCCCCTGTCACACACAGAGCCGCAGGGCAATCAGGGGGTTTGGGTGCTGCCCCCTGTCACACTGATCCTGGTGCTGGGAGGCATATTACCCTTTTACTATATAGGATAGAGGCCTGGTGCACGGGTTGGGGCCGGCTGGTTTGCCCTGAAGGGTGTTCTGGATCAGGGTGGGGGTTCCCACTGGGGTGCCTGGCCAGTCTGGGTGAAGGTCTGAGGGCTGTTTTCAGGCTGGCGGGTGACTGAAGCTCCCAACCGCTCCTTTTTTTCTTTTTTTTTTCTTTTTCTGGGCCAGCTTTAGCTCTGAGGCTCCAGCTCTTAGGCCTCCATTGCTGAAAGCAGGTTTCTGGCCTTTGTTTACCTTCTGTATTTGAAACAATGTTGCGATCCTACTGGCTGAAGCCCGGTGACTAAAGCAGGTTTCTGGGGTTTTGTTTAGCTTCTATATTTGTAACATAGTTGCTTAGAGTTGCAGCTCAGAGGCCGACAGCGGCAGGCAGGGAACATTGGAGTCCTCCGTCACTGAAGCAAGCAAGCCTCATGTTAGTTTCAAGCTGCCTGGCTGCCGGCCGCCATCTTGGCTGGCAGTTAATTTGCATATTGCCCTAATTAGCCAATGGGAAGGGTAGCGGTCGTACGCTAATTACCATGTTTCTCTTTTATTAGATATGATTTCTGTAATCTTAGAAAACTAATTGCAAGTGTCAGGATATTATATTTGGTGAACATTTACTTTATACAGGGAAGTCTGCTCCGGTTAGACAATTAAAGGTCTTTTATTCCATATCCAGAATTTTTTCCATTATATCAGAGTTGGTGTATCTATAAACCACAATGCTAAGTGCATGCATAAATCAGGTGCAGCTGTATAGCCAATTCTAAGCTTTCAAAAACACACATTAACATTCAATATTTTGGGAGTTTCATAAAATATTGAGGAAAGTTTTTTTTTTCTTTACTTTTGAGGTTAGAATTGCATTTGAGTATAAAAACAAGTCAATTCTGTAGACCACTGATGTTTCCCTTTTTTATTCATTTTTTTAAAAATTATTTTTATCATTTCTTTTAAACAACTTTTTAAAATATAAGTTAAAATTTTTATGAAAATCTTTCTATAATGTACTGCCCTCCAAAACTCATACTGGACAGAACTAAATGTTATACTGATTACGCAATCATTATAAGCATAACATATTGGTATGCTTTCATATGTCTATAGAGAAGAATAAGGAATGGATAGGCTGAGTAAAAGCCTAGAACTTTCCAAAGTCATCTGTATTCAGTTATATGAAGAGATTCCAAAGTATTTCCCTTATCTATGCCACATGTGTGAAAGTATACACACTTCTCAGGCTATGAATACATACACAGAGAATTTTAATAACACAAGTTCAAGTTTGAGTATTAATAAAACATTTATAAATATAGATAGAAATGTGCTCACATAGCCAAAGTTTGGTAACCATAGTGGAAGGTAAAAATAGATAATAAATTCACATATTGGCTGCATTGTGAATTGAAGTAGATATTCTAAGTAGCCAGCTTCTTCCCAGTGCTTGAAAAAAGTGAAGGGATCTTAAGATATTATTGGAAAACTTAAAATATTACTAAAACAAAAGTATTTTGGAGGCATGTTCTGAGGCAGAGTTTATCTTATTAAATGTTTACATGGCAGATGGAGAGGATGAGGAGTCGCTGCAGGAGCCTGGGACCTATCAATTTGAAGGCATGCTCATCAGAAACTCAAACAAGTCAGTAGGGAATATGGCAAATATCTGATTCCTTAAGTGCCACAATATTCTGAGAGTAAAATTCTCATTATAATAAGTATTTCCATTATTTAGATATGTAGCTTTATCTTTAATACAGTATACACTTAAGATAATAGCTCTAATTATTTGAAGGCTTAGCATGTAGCAGAGAGTAAATAATGCCAATGAATACTTGATACTCTAAGCATATATTAATTGCCTGCTATGTCCCAGGTATGAGCACTTGAGATGATGATAATGAAAGTGGCCTGAGCTGCCATTCTCTATAGACATATTAACATAGCCCTTAACCTAGTTCCTCTGGTGACTGGGATGTTTGTGAGTTCCCTGGGCCTGGCCCAAGATGCAACTTGTAGGTTTAGAACAGACACCTATTATGGACTGAATGTTTGTGCGCTACCCCCACCCCCAATTCATATGTTGAAGCCCTACCCAAAAAAATGGGGCCTGAATGAGGTCATTGGGGCTAGGTGGGGTCACCAGGGTGGAGCCCTCATGATGGGGATTAGTCCCTTTATGAAGAGACACCACCGAAGAGCTCACAGCTCTCTCTCTCAGAGTAAACAGAGAAGAGGTCATGGGAGCACACTGCAAGACGGCGGCCTCCAAACCGAGAAAAGGGGCTTCAGAAACCTACCTTGCCGAAATCCCCAGCCTTCAAAACTGTGAGAAATCAATTTCTATTGTTTAAGCCACCAGTCTATGATATTTTGTTATGACACCTCACCTATGGGTGAAGCAAATTAGCCCAAATTGGGAATACAAATTTTTTTAAGACACCATATGCACAGGATGCAACTGCCAGTTATTAATTACAGAAAGAAGTGAACAGGGAATTTTCCTCCCTAGACTTTAGAAAACCATTTGAGGGTGTTTTCTCCCCTTTGGTATATGATAAGTGGATAAAAAACTGTGTTTCCTATACAGTGACCCCATCTGATGAGAACAAGATTTTGCCATCGATTCATCATTCAGTTAGAAAAGATAAGAGAATGGGAGAATCAAATAAAGCTCTACAAAGAAAATGAGCTACATGTTATGTTTTTGAAAAGCACAATGATTTTAAGGAGATTATGTATAGTCAGAATTTCACCTTAAACACCAAACTACTGACATTAAACACCCTAAATTACTCTGAATTTACTCAAATCCCAGGAATTAATTTGTAAGCATCTAAGATGAAGTCTTGTGTGTGTATGTTTGCAATAAGTGTGCAAAATTCACCTGGAAACATCTTTAGTTGCAATGATCATATAGATGATTTTTCAAAAAAGATCTGAACAAATCTTTTGAGTCAGTAGCCCTATTCTACTAGAGACAATAATAAAATACTACTTAGTGAAATGTGGTTAGAATGAAGTAGAATCATTTTTAAGTAAATGACAGTTGATTTAATACTTGCTGAAACCCTGCATAAAAAATATATACAAACACAATAATCGTTATAACTGATTTACTTTTAAAATTTTTTATTGAATGATTTTTTTCACCAACTCACATAAAAGAACATACACTTGTGTTAAATTTCAGCTGTTTTGGACACAATTTACAAACCATTTTATCATAAGCTGGTCAGATATTCCTATGCATACTAATCAAGGATTTAACTCCCCATTCATAAAAATAATAATAACAAATAAAATAAATTTGAGCTCTGGAAAAATCAGTAACTTGGGTGTGTCATGACAGAAGAGAATATGTTCCCTCGAAACTGCCAGGAAGAGCAGACCAGAGATTAGGCCTGTAGTTCCTGAATTTCATGGTTCATTCATCTACAAATTACTAAAACCCCTTGGAAATAAGGGCCTGGGCCTGGCCAGTGTTGCTCAGTGGGTAGAGCGTCATCCTGTGCACCAAAGGTTCATGGGTTTGATTACCAGTCAGGTTCTGTCCCTGGCTGGGGTTCAGGCATGAGGCAACCAACCAACTGATGTTTCTCTCTCTAGAATCAATGAAAAATATATCGTTGATTGAGGATTAACAACAACAACAAAAGTAATAAATAAGGGCCTGAACTAATGCCCTTTTATAACCATTCAGGAAATAGGTATCAAGTGCCCCAGGGCAGCCAGTGGACTCGCTCTGTCTGCTGAGGCTGCCATGATGGCCAGAGTGAGTGAACAGCATTGGTCCCTAATGAAAATAATCAGAACCTTCTTTGTAAAAGTATTCTTAGATCATATTCATTTTAAGGAAGCTATTTAAAATAACTACTCAGAGAATTCGCCAAAAATAATATGCCCAAGGCCCTGTGAAGAAAGCTAAATTTTTTCAAGGGGAAAAAAGACTCTCACTTGGGAAAGACAAGAATTGCTTGTCCTAAAAACACTGGGAGACTGTGTAGCATAAAGTGATGTGCCTTTCAAATGCAAGATCATTTACAACTGTGGAGCTGTCTCCCCTATGCATGCATGAAAAGCCCATGGTTAGAACACTAGTTAAATAAAAGCTTGAGATCTTAAAAGGTCTCAGCTGTTAAGGGCCGCTAGGAAAAAACACTCGTTTGGTTTGTTGGCTGAAACTCAGAGCAAAGGCAGAGCCACGCCCTGGGGGTGGACCCGGTCCACAGACTGGGACACCACTCAGTTTTGACCTTCCCGCCCAGTGTTAAGGGGATGGATCTCATGATGTCACCAGGAACTCAAGGCCCACCCAGATGTGATGTAATTTCCTGTGATTCGAGTATTTAATAAACTCCTTTCCGTGCTGGCTTTCTCTGCATCTGTCCCTCCAGCAGAGGGCAGACGCCACACCCCGGCCCAGCTTTTACTCTCTTTTTGTGTCTGTCTTTTCATTTTTCCTTAAACCTAGTCGCGTTCTAATCAAGGTTCATCATCTCCGTGTTCTCTCTCTCTGCGTTGGCCGGGGGAAGAGAGAACCCCCCTCCCATCCTCGGCTTCCCTATTTTTAAACTAGATTTATTTCCTAGGATGAAGTATTTCTTTCTTTTTAAACTATACACACTTCAGTCGATATTTTCCAAAGCAGTACAATAGTTGACAGTTTTGTTGATAAAGCTATTCCTTGTAATTCTTTAAAAAACAAAACTAACAAAAAACTAGTTTCTCAGACCCAAGAGAAAGCAATATAAACACTGAGGGCATGCACTGAATGGGTCCACCTCAGAGTAGTCCTAAGTGTCGTGAATGTTTGTCTCTAATTCGATTTGAAATGTGACTGTCCGCCTCTGTATCTGCCGTTTCACCTTTACTTGGCACCCAGCACCACAGTAGATTCTTCTTGGGGTAGGACCCTGAGAATAACTCCATTGAGAAATCACATTGTTTATAGGACCAGCTTGAAGTTTTAAAGAGTGTCTAATTTTTAAGAAGGCTAGCAGGAAAAAAATTACTTTGCACAAACCAAACGTACCACCATGTGAAGAAGAAATGGAAATGCCCATCAATAACTTTACCTAAACGGTTTTACATGCAGGAAAATCTCCTTTTGACAAAAGTAAATTTATAAAAATATTGAAATGCTATTAATAGAGTTCGTGTCCAGGCACACTCCGTGAGGTGGTCTTGCCACAATCATCGGAACTGGTTTCCCCTGCGACTTAGATCATCCGTGGCCTGGTGTGGGGTTCCCGTTACCCGTGAGTACAGTCGGCGTCCTCCCCGCGGATCCAGAGGCACAGCTGCGCGTACTTGAGGGGCGTGATGCGCACCGCCACGTTGTAGTCCTTCTGCTCGCCCTGCACGTCCACCCACTGGTGGCCGGAATAGACCGCGATGATCTTGCGCTTCCAATGCTTGTCCGGCTCTTTCAGGCGCAGGTAGACCCCGGAGCCGGTGGAGCCCGGCTGGGCATCGCAGTATTGATAGAGGAGGTCATTGGACTCCTCGGACACGCTGCAAAACCGGTAGACCAGCTGATCAGCTCTGTCCTGATCAAAGCCGGAGAAGTGGATCATGCCCCCGGGCAGCTTCCTGAGGGCCGGGCTGATTCCTAGGTCCATGTATTTCTTTTTGTGAGCACGTTTCAGCTCCAGAAGAGCGTAGTCGTAGTCCAAGGCGGCGGCCCCTCTCCCTCCCGTGGCCCAGCCTTTGGGGATGTGGGTGTTCTTGACCCGGGTCCACTGGAAGGAGGGCCCGCCCTCAGTGCCCCTCTGACCCCCAGCAGAGTTCTTTCTCCTCCTTCCAGCCTTGGCTGTCTCCTTCAGATTCTCTTTGCTGCCCTCTCTTTGGTCATCACCATTGGCTTCTCTCCTGCTTCTCCTGGAACCCCTACGTTTCTTGCCACCTCCTTTATTTCTCATCTTCAGCAGCCCTACCCTCAGCTTTCTACTTCCTTTCACATAGTCCTTCCCGTCGTGTACACAGTGGGCAGCGGTCAGAACGTGCTTGGGGGACACGAGAACGCCACTGCAGCCCGTGGACAACTTCACGGCTGTGTTGAAAGGGAAGTTGGTGAGGAATCTTTTGTCCAAGATGCTGAACCTGCTGTCTGTGCCATACACCTGCCTCTTTCTCCTGGCCGATGCTCCTCTGGCGGTGGTGTTTGGCGTGGGCTCCAGGACCAGGCCTTGCACTTTCACTCTGGTCAGGGTCCGGGTGCCATTCTCAAAGACAGTCTCGTAGGAGAGAGAATCTTCCAGGTCAGAGAGGCTGGGAGCGGGGAGTTCTTTCTGGCACTCAATGCCACACACTTTCTTTAACACCATCTTGGCCTCGGCCTGAAACGTGGGGCTGGTGAGATGGAAAGTCCTGTCGCTGACAACCCGGGGTACTTTTCTCAGATGCCACATAAAATCCTGCTCCATCTCTGATCCATCAGTGAGGGGCCACCCAAGCGTGAAAAATATCAACCACAGTAGCGTCTTTTCCATTGTGTTCTTCTCTCTTGTCCTTAAAAAATAGAAAGAGAAAAGAGGAGCTTTACAACATTTTCTTTTTAAATGTTCCTTATCTCTACAGTGCAAGTCCTTGCACAGAGCTCAAAAAAGCGTTCATTAGAATACAGTGGATTTCCCAGAACCATGGTTTTCGGACCAAGCTGATTGACGACGTAATTGAAATCACCAGATACTATTCTAAAAGCAGTAGAGGCTTATGAAATAAATAAATGGGGTCATCTGCTGTTGACCTGCTTTGATTTTTACAAGCAGAACCCCTTATCATAAAAAATATGCACAGGCCATTTTATGCTAAAGTTAGAAAAATGTACTCTGTACTTACTACCATCTAAGGCAAAGCAACATACAAACATGTGTCACAGTGGGCTTTTACTCTATGTTAAAATTAGTTACAAGAATTTATGGAGCACAGGCTATAACTCCGAATTGGCTACTTGGGGGAGCATGATAAGGAATAAATATAGTCCCTTTCATCATGGGTCTCCTCCTCCAAGAGCAGTGGTTCTGTGTTAAGTACTTTTATTTTTATTTTTATTTTTTTTTATTTTTTTTGTTATTAATTAACTTTTATTTTTAACAAATTTTAGCAATTAGGCCATATGTTGGAAAAACACTGTAGTAATTTTGTCAACATAAATAAATGTTACATATCTATAACTATAGTCTACATATTTATATCCAAGAGACACATCTCAGGAACAATGTTTGGGAAATGATTAGCACATGATCACACCTCATCACAGTAATTGGTCCTGCTGTCACGTGGCATGCCTTTCCGCAGCAGTCTTCATGTGTGCCCACCGATGTTCTGAGGAAAGCTAAGCCAGGCCCGGCTATGCGCATTTGTTTACTCACGGTGAATGGAGAATGTACGCATTTATTAGACCTATTCAGTATAAATTTATAATTACTATAACACATACAGAAAACTTTTCTGTAAGATTAAACGTTTCATCCATACTTAATTTTAATTATAGAAAAGTGTCTACATAAATAAAAAGAGACAAACTAATTTGTCAATTTTTTAACAAATGCATTTGGAAAACCTACTTCACTATATAATGGATTTTTGGCTTTAACAGGCACCCCCTTGCCCAAATTAGTCCTTTATGTTGAGGTTTTACTATACTTCTCTTGGTAGTTAAATTCAAGGTTCTTCACTTTCCCTCTAGTTCACTGGTTCTCAACCTTCTGGCCCTTTAAATACAGTTCCTCATGTTGTGACCCAACCACAAAATTGCTGGGGTCCAACCCCAGCGGGTCCAGGGGTTCCCAAAGGCGTAGACGGAGTCGGCGAAGAAGGAATGACACAGAGGAACCGTTCAGTTGATCAGCAGCCTAGCCAGGATCTCTAGCCAGGATCTCCAGCCAAGTTCTGGTCTGGATCTCCAGAGAGGTTCTGCCTTGGATCTCCTGCCAGGTTCGGTAGCCAGTTGTCTTGCTAGGTTCTCCAGCCAGGTTCTGTCCAGGTTCTCCAGCCAGGTTCAGTCACCAGGTTCTAGTCAGGTTCTCTTGCCAATTTCTGTAGTCAGGTTCAGTCCAGGATCTTTTGCCATGTTCTCTCCAGCAAAGTTCTTCTGTCTGTGTAGGTTCCTTCTTCTGAGTTCTGTGTTCTAAGTTCTGTGTTCTAAGTTCTGACTCTTGCTGTCTTATTACATCTGTATTTATACCAGTTGATTCAATCCTATCAATCTCTATTACAAAGGTTAGGGCGTTTCTTATCTCCATTCCAGGGAGTAAAGATTATGTAGCTTAAGCATGATTGTTCGTAGTTAAAGTGATTAATTACCCACCTGGCACTAGTTAAGAGGTTTTATTCCCTCCCTAACTTCAGGGGAAAATCCCTACCTGGGGAAACAACCTTTCTCAGAGACCTTGGTTAAAACACATAGTGCCAAGAAGGTGAGCAAACATATTAAGAACAGTATGCCATATATGCCAGGTCCCTTGAAACAGCAAGCATGGACCGGCTCCCGGCAAATTCCCCCTTTTTTATTTTTTAAAACCAGGCATTAAAAAGAAAAACCCCAAATGCTCTCTTGTATCCATTTTAAGAAATCCGCTATTACCTGAGTCCTGATCTATCACCCCAGGGAGAACTTACCAATCCTGCACTTTCCCGGGGTGGAAAGGCTGCAGTGGGATAAGAATACGGATCCTTGGGCCTACCTTCTCCCATGCCTCTACATTTACCTTTCAGGCACCTTTCCTTCCTCAGAAAAGCATGGACGTATTTCTTGTATAAAATGTTCCATCTGACTGGGAGTAACCTTAATTCCTCTGCTAGCAAGCATATGTGTTAAAAGATCAATACAGAGTCTTATTTCTTTAGACTCAGTATGGCACATCTTCTTAGTCTAAGAATCAATACAGAGTCTTCTTTCTTTGGACCCAGTATGGCACATCTTCTCAATCTAAGAATCAAGAGTCTTCTTTCTTTGGACTCAGTATGGCACATCTTCTCAATCTAAGTTCTGTACTATCCACCTTCTTACCCTACTTATCCTCTGTAGGGGGGTCTGCAGTACCCTGGTGGAGTCCTATCCGTCCCGAGTGTGGGGTTCTCAATGTGGGGGGGGGGGCTTACCTAGGGGAATCCTGTTCCAGGAGTTCCCAAAGGTGTGGACGGAGTCGGCAAAGACTATCCACCCTCTTCCTACGGTGGAGTCCTATCCGTCCCGAGTGTGGGGCGCTTACCTAGGGGTCCCTGTTCGGGCGCCATATGCTGGGGTCCAACCCCAGCGGGTCCAGGGGTTCCCAAAGGCGTAGACGGAGTCGGCGAAGAAGGAATGACACAGAGGCACCGTTCAGTTGATCAGCAGCCTAGCCAGGATCTCTAGCCAGGATCTCCAGCCAAGTTCTGGTCTGGATCTCCAGAGAGGTTCTGCCTTGGATCTCCTGCCAGGTTCGGTAGCCAGTTGTCTTGCTAGGTTCTCCAGCCAGGTTCTGTCCAGGTTCTCCAGCCAGGTTCAGTCACCAGGTTCTAGTCAGGTTCTCTTGCCAATTTCTGTAGTCAGGTTCAGTCCAGGATCTTTTGCCATGTTCTCTCCAGCAAAGTTCTTCTGTCTGTGTAGGTTCCTTCTTCTGAGTTCTGTGTTCTAAGTTCTGTGTTCTAAGTTCTCTGTGTTAAGTACTTTTAAAGTTGTGAGTGCTGATCGATCATACATTGCATCTTCTTGTATTCACCTCTTCTTGCCCTCTTTTCCTGCCTCCCTAGGCTCACAGGTATGTAAATCTCTGTAGTGGAACTGATGTTTGTCAGTTGTTGCTTCCTGAGGGTGGGGCCAGTGGTAGCACTTTTTGGAGCATCAATTTTGAAATTTGTAAGCTATGTTCCACATCATTTTTAACTAATAGCTAAAATATCCAGGCTTAGCAAGTGATTTGCACTTAGTATAGAGCAGAGGCAAATTCAAAGTTACATTATTCTTACAACACTTGGACTCTCAATGCTCTCTGATAATGTGTGTGTGTGTGTGTGTGTGTGTGTGTGTGTGTGTGTGTGTGTGTGTGAAATAAAAGTAATGAAGAATGTTAGGAATGTTCCTTAACCCAGGGTACACCCATAGGATCCTGTGCACCGGCATGAAAACCACAGGTTATCTCTGAGCAGAGTTGGATATGACATCGCTTGATACAACAGAGTTCCTTTTGCCATATAGGAGTGCAGAATTTTATTAATAAACAGCATCCTTTGATAAAACATATACAACATAACCTCTCCATTGTTTAAACATGATATATTCACCAAAATATGACACAATTAACTTGAATCACCATACATTGAAACATATTGAACAAATTTATAATAATCTTTACCATGTTTTGGCATCAGCAAGATTACACAGAAGTTTTGCAATTTCCATTTTTTTGTATCTGCTCATACTTGAATGCTGAATAATGGTGATTCAGTTAACTTTAGACTGTATTGTTTAAGTACCTTGTAACTTACCTTGTGACTTATTTTATTTGGGAAAATAATGGATATTGTCAAAAAATCAATAAAGAATATACTTTGGAAAAGAATCCACAGTCATGGGACAATATTGTCTAATCATTACCACGGCACATTTGACTTTATCAGAGCAGTATTTATATTGAAAATGATTTTGTTGAGCCACTCAGTATTTTCTTTTGTTATCTTCTATGCAATCTGCACAATGAGTATTTCATAAATTTTATTTAATGGGGTTGGAGTGAAAAGCTTATAACTCAGTAATTCCACTAAGACCTTGAAATCCTGTGCTTAACTGGATAGTTTCCACAATGAAAAATTATGTCTTTGCAAAAAAAAAAAAAAAAAAAAAGCTAAAATCAGAGTTATTTGCTGCCTCTTAGCTTATCAACAGACTAAAATAGATGTGATTAAAAAGATATACATATTTTATCTACCTGATTCTCAGCAAAATTTCAATCAAGGGAGCTTTTTAGTCTGGAAAAAAAGTTTTAAAAATTAATTTTTTCACCATGGTTGGTTTTACTCAGTGGTTGAAGTGTTGGCCTGCAGACCAAAGGGTCTCAGGTTCAATTCCCGATCAAGGGGATGTACCTCAGTTGCAGGTTCAATCCTCAGCCCCACGGGAGCATACAGGAGACAACAAATCAATGTGTCTCTCTCACATTGATGTTTCTCTCTCTCTCTCTCTCCCCCGCCTACTCCCTCCCTTCCACCTAATCCTCACCCAAGGAAAAAAAATATTCTTGGGTGAGGATTAAAAAAATTTTTTTTGATTTTTTCATTTAGCCCTTTATGATAATAGCTGTCTATTTATACAGTACATGATTGCAGTATATGATTGTATCAAAGACTGAAAGTCAGCCATATGTCTTCATTGAGAAATACATAGAATCATTTCGTACATATTAACACTTGATACTAATGTTCTGTAGAATAATAATGTGGGAGAGTCATTCCTAGGCAAACAGAGATGTCCCAAATCATGGTGCTGTGGTACTATTTCCCCAGTTAGTTTTTGTTTTCAGAATGATTTA